CCCCAAAACCCCAAAACCCCAAAACCCCAAAACCCCTAAAAATTTCTAAAATATTGAAAATCGTTAACCCCTATTAAGGATTTTCTGGAGATTTTGGGAGGTATTTTAGGAACCTGTTTTCTTCGCGTGGGAGGACTCTCATCAGTTGTTCAGGAGGGATTTGATAAATGTTTTGGCCGTAGACAGGATGGATTTGAGAAGATGGAGATTCCTTGAGGAAATCTCTGGGGTCAAGGTCGAGACTTGGGTTTTTCTCAAGAGCTTCTTGGTACTCTGAGTCTCTGGAAAGGATATATTTGATCTGAATTTGGAGTTTCTTCATCATGTATACAATGTAAAAACAGTCTAGCATATCATCTACATCATAAACCATTAATTAAATCATTCATTCACGACTAGTATGATTTGCTTAAAAACTTTGTAATTTAAAACCAATTAAAAATCAGAAATTTATGAGTTATGAGATATGAGAACTCTAAGAAATTGGGCTAACCCATGCGAAGGTTATCTACCCTATAATCATAATAACGACTTGGAAGTGTATAACCCCTCCTTGACCTATAGAGTTTTAGTCTTGGAGCTTTTAAAATCCAATTCAGATTATGGAAAGAGCCTAAAGCCTAACTCTCGATGTAAAATTCTGTGCGTACTAAAATTTTCAACTTCTTGGTCATTTGTGCTGAATTTATTAAAGAAGCAGCATTTCTTCTCGTCTTGTTTTGCATCTATTTCTGCTGGGATTTTAGAAGGCTCATGAGCATTCTGTTGAGGGTTCATAAAGAGAGAGCCAGGCTCAACTGGGAGGTCAGGATTTAAGTTGAGTGGTCCGTAGGAGTTGTTCAGATCGGCTTGATTAGAGCTAAATTCTTGCAATATTGTTAGCGAGCTTGGACTCTTCTATAGAGATGAAGGATAGATATAAACTTAAAGCTCTTGAAATTGGAGTTAGACAATGAAGAAAAGTATATTGGGGCTCGCTATGAATCATACTTTATAAAGCCCTTGAGGTTATTAAACTTTTATATAAGACTTGAGAAAATTTTATTGAAGAATTCAAAATAATTTACCTTTTCTTGAGATTTTGCTGCTCTTACTTTTAGATTCTTCTGTAATTTTCTCCAAATTTCCTCCTTCCTTCTCTTCTTCATCTTGGTTAAGCTCCTCTTCCTCCTGTTGTTTATTTTCTTTGAGTCTCTTTTCCAGTTCTTTCATCTCCTTTGAAATTGTTTCAAATTTAGCTTCATAGAGTTTGACATCCATACCAAGTCTCTTTTTAAAGATAAATGATGCATAAATTCCAATGATTGCTCCAAATCCAACCTCGAATACCTATTTATGCATTAAACCTAAGTAATTTTCCCTTTGGGTATAAATCCAGATGTAAAGGAGTATAGCTCCAAGTGTAATGAACGAAACTAGTGGGTTCTCATGAGCTGTATATTTCTGTTTCAGACCCCATGGCTATTAAACCTTACCTCGAACATTCCTCCAAGAATCCCGGTCACTTCTAAGAAATTGAGGAGTTTTCTGTGATGTTGATCAATACGGTCATCTTTAACAATCTCAAACACGACTTCTCCATCACTATCTCCCACAATTGGCATTTCTTCATAAATTGAGTAATCTTCCAACGAGTTGAAATAAATCGGCTCTGTGCTCCAAGGTAATGGGAACAAAGAGTCATCAAGGACCACTTCATGTTTTCTAAATAAAAGTGATTGGTTAGAGCTTAAGCAGGAAATTAATCTAACCACACGCCTGGCTGAAGCCTCTGAGAGTATTGGCCCAGCCCCAACTAACTTGTAAGCATAAGACTAGTAGAATGAAGTTCAGCATTTTCGCTGTTTTAAAAATTCCTAAGAATATCAATGATGGAGAGGATAAACCTAAGAGTTAAGGAAGAGAGAGGCAGTTGAGAGGTAGGCTTTAAGGAGGGGATTAATTCTCTGGATTTTTTTGGGGAGAACATAATGTTTTGTAGTAGAGGAGCTTTGTCTGAGTGTTGTGGTAGAATTCAGTTGGGGGGTTGGGTAGAGTTCTTGGAGAAAGATCTACATTTTGTTTCAAAATATTTTCAATAGTGCACAGAGATATAGACACCCAAGAGGAGAGTGCATAGGAAGGTAGCCTCTAACATCGTTTAAGGTGAAATCTTTATCCAGGTTTTCCTTTGAAAAATTTCAGATTCACTCCAAACGAGATTCGCTCAGCTCCATCCTCCTCATTCTAGAAAATTTTATTCTTTCTCACTATCTTTCTTAAATTTTCGGAATTCCTTGAGGATTCTCACTACAGTTATCTCAGGTAAGCCCAAAGTTGTGGCCACTTTTCTGATTAGGATTTAGAGGTGTAAATGTTGAATAATCACCTCTGCTTTTATTCTATCGTTGGCGGGATCTAGGTTAACCCAGAAGCTGTGCAAGTGTTTTCAATAACTACTTGTTTTATCTCTCAGGGATGCTGGTTCATCGTTGTTTTTGCCAACTCTCAAGTTCAACATGCAACCTGATTTTGAATCATTTATTCATAGCTCTCGATATAAGGGTAAGTGCCCACCAAGCTCCCTGTTACATTTTATATATAGCTACTTCTGCTTCTTAGTCTGAATTACCAATGCCTGATTGGCTGGAAGCATCAGTGGCATCTATTAATAATGAGTGGCCTTAATTTGGGAAATAGAAATTTGCATCAGACTCCCTCTCTTCCTTAATTCTTCGGTTCTACCTCTGCACCATTGATAACCTTAAAAAATTGGAATTGTTAACTTAATTATGCTAGTTTTACCTTAGCTTCATTGTCACCCTAGTCCGAATCCCTGTTTTGATCTGGATATTTCTTAAGGTTTCAGTGTAATCCTTGATAGGATTTTCAATATCGTTCAAGTCAACATATTTATTCTTCACATGTACTGAAATGATAGACTTGTTAATAATTTCTTTGGAAATATCTGAGTGGACTCAATTGGACTCATATCTACAATTAGAGTACCAAAACGTGACATAAGAATACTCTTTATTATTTTGCTGATTCCCATTTAGTTTTTGACCTACTATATTTGGTCAATGGGGCTTTATAATATTGAGTTTATTGTCAAGATCTTGATTGGTCCAAAAATCATCTGCACATGGTTCATAACTGAGTTCAGTACGTGTGTAATAATCATCACCGTTTGCTTTCTTTTCAGTATTGATATACTCATGAGAGAAACTAAATTTCAGTGCATTTTCTGGGTCTCCCACATTGCTAGAAATCAAACAATTGAATACTCACTCTAGAAGGTGATGTTGATAAGCTGTCCAATAGATTTTTAATTTAGGATCATCCTCCGCCCAAACCAAAGGCTCATGCTCTGTTGCCAAGTTTGTTCTCACAGAGTTTAGATTCCAGCTTACATCTGATCTATTTATCATGATCCTGAAGAAAATTATACTGTAGCCTGCAAGAATCACAAATATTATTAAGGTGGCTATTCCTCCAATAAAGTTACTAAAGGTGTCATTCCCTCTATAGTTAAGCGAAATGGATTGCTTAAAAATATCCCGATTCTTAACACGCTTGTAGGACCATTTGAGAGTCTTCAAATATCAATTTGGCATCTTTTCAATTAATAATAAAAGCTTAGGGGTTTTGGGGTTTTGGGGTTTTGGGG